CCTAAACCCTAAGCCCTAAGCCGTCCTTCTCAAGCTGGATGAAGAACTGGAACTTCTTCGGATCCAGCTCTGCAAGTGAAATGATCTTTGCCAGTGCGCCTTGTTGGTGGGCATTCGGTTCTTTTGGTTTGGCTTGACAAGTTTTTTGCATGAGTTTATAGGTTTTGACAGCTTCTTAAGAATTACGCAAGGGTCCGATTATATTATGGATATGATGATATGATACTATTATTTCGGGGTCGATGTTTAGGCGTCACTCATCGCCTGACAATCTCGTGGTTTAGGGTGCGACAAAATCGGTCGTAAGATGTGCTTTCGGAGCTAGATGCACGTCTGCTGAATGCTCCTCCCCAAAAGTTTGCACATAACTGCTGTCGCCACCATTGGCGGCATCGCCCCAGGTCACAACCGATCCATTGCCAAGAATGGCAGCAAAAGCACCGTTACAGGCTTGGATCTGCTGCACGTTGTTCAGCTGCGCCTGCACAGCACAACTGTCACCACCATAGCCAGCAGAACCCCAGGTCACAACCGATCCATCACCCAGAATGGCAGCAAAAGCGCGCATAGAAGCCTGGATCTGCTGCACATTCTGCAGCCGCTCCTGCACAGCACGACTGTCACCACCGTAGCGAGCAGGACCCCAGGTTACAACCGATCCATCCCTCAGAATTGCAGCAAAAGCGCCGTCAGATGCCTGGATCTGCTGCACGTTTTTCAGCTGACCCTGCACGGCCCTACTGTCGCCACCACCAACAGAATGTCCCCACGTCACCACCCGATCCATCACCCAGGATGGCAGCAAAAGCACGCGTGGAGGCTTGGATTTGCTGCACATTCTTCAGCTGGCCCTGCACAGCACTACTGTCGCCACCGCAGTCAGCATGACTCCAGGCCACAACCGTTCCATCGCCAAGAATAGCTGCAAAAGCCGCATCAGAGGCTTGGATCTGCTGCACATTCTTCAGCTCATCCTGCACAGCACTACTGTCGCCACCAGAGTCGGCAGCGCCCCAGGACACAACCGATCCATCGCCAAGAATGGCAGCGAAAGCCCCACATGAAGCGGCCTGGACTCGCTGCAGATTTTTCAACGGACCCTGCGCAGCGATACTGTTGTTACCATAGAGTCTATAGCCCCACGTCACCACTGATCCATCGGCGAGAATGGCCGCAAAAGCGCTGCCAGAGGCATGGATCTGCCGCACGTTCTGCAACTGACCCTGCACAGCACTACTGTCGGCACCGTAGGCAGCAGAACCCCAGGTCACCACGGATCCATCGGCAAGAATGGCAGCAAAAGCACCGTAAGATGCTTGGATCTGCTGCACGTTCTTCAGCTGACCCTGCACTGCAGTACTGTCGCCACCAAAGCCAGCAAGGCCCCAGGTCACGACAGATCCATCGCCAACAATCGCCGCAAAAGCGGAGCTGGCTTGTTGAATTTGAACTTTGCTTACGTGAAATGTCAGTGAGTCGCCATTCTGAACCCTGGTGTTCGTGATCAGTGCAGATCCATCCAGCACGCTTCCAGTTGAGTCCACTAGCCGCCCTTTCCCCACTCCGAGTGCGATCTGTGCCCTTTGTGTCAATGTCTCCACAGTTTCGTCCAGGCCTGCTTGCACAGTAGCTGTCCTTCCACTGAGCAGTGAAACTTCCACGGAAGTTGACATGCTCCACACAGGGAAATGTCCAAAACCCTGCTTCTGCTAATTCGCGGGTTTGCTATCTGAGATCTGCAGATTTTAGTCTTCCCTAAACCCCTGAACCAAAGGCAACCCTAGAGTTGAAGCCGCATGGGATCAAGAGTTCAGGTTCCGGGTGCCCCTGTTCCTGCTGAAGTCCGAAGCATGTAATTACTGTAGATGTGTTCGGAGGGCCTCGACCCTGTTTAGGGTTTAGGGTTTAGGGTTTAGGGTTTAGGGGTTTAGGGTTTAGGGTTCTCGTAAAATTTCAATAGATAGCCATGCATGTTTGGATCAGTGGGAAGCGCGAGGGGCCTTAATGGCTAGAGTAGGGTTTTGAGTTATGTTGCACCAGATTTTTTTAATAAGGAACCGCAAAAATAGTATTGGTAATTATGTAGGCCCCTATCTTATGCGAATCCAAGTCTACTTGCAAGGCAGCTCCCTTGCCACTGAGCAGTTCAACTTGCACAGTGATCGACATGCTGCACGCTGCATGTGTTCCTACGGTACCCTAAACCCTAAACCTTACGGACAACTGTTTCGAGGTTTGGGAGCTTCAGGGATTCACGAAATCCCGATTGCAGAGTCATGTTTCCTGTAAACAAACTACCAGGCTACAGTAAAGTCGCCCAAAGTTGAAGTGACTATAAGTTTACTGATATTTCTATCCCAAACCCCACTCGGAATCAATCTTCTGTTTGCAGAGTCTGGACGCTGAAAGACAGTTTTGCGAATGATCAAATGGCGATATCGTTTACAGAACCCTCCCCCCCCCTGCCAGAAAATAAAAGGAACAAAACAGCGGTAGAGTAACGATTTAGGTTTCAGAGGCTTCATGGCCCCTACACCCGAACCCTAAAATCTAAATCCAAACCAAAACACTAAACCCTAAACCGCAATCTCTGAACCCCCAAACCCAGCACGCCAAACCCAAAGACCCCACCTAACTAGCATTCTATACCGAACTTGAGAACCTAGCAGAAATCTCAACTTTAGGGATGACAATAACCAAAGATATAGAATTATTTCCAAGTGCCTTAAACCCTAACCCTAAACCCTA